AACACATCAGTTTGTTGTTCCACTTATTAATGTATTCATTGGTTGATTCTTGTCTGTGCCCCAACAGGGGATTGAAGTGAGCACTGAGAAGTACTGTGAGAACTCCAGGACAGTTGGAAGTAGATTTTGTTTTTATTAGCTTGTGTTTAGGGCAGCTAAATGAATGGTAACTCTACCTGGACAATCTTTTTAATGGGATTGTCCCTCTGGGTTGAACTGCTGCTTTAAAAAATTACTCCATCTTAATCCTTTGGTTCTTGGATAAAGCAAAGCCTTGACCCTGTGATCAACACATTGTAATAAAATAAAAGACAGATTATAAGAATTTGACCAAGGTATATATTCTTGTAGGTCATATTTTTTAAAAGAAAATAAGGTAAAATACATTATAATAAAAACTTGATCAAGATATAGAGTTTGTTGTGGATCATTTCTGTTTGTTTCATTATAAAGGGAACTACATTAAGAAACAAAAGGGTTTACATTTTAAAATCCTCCATAAGAGATTAAATCTTGTTAGTATCTGCTGGTAATTAATATTTAAAAGTTAAACATCAAACCTCTAATAAACTAAATTTGAATAATTCTTATAATAGTGGAGAACTGTAATTGAAAAAAATGTATTCAGGACTCCCTCCCACCCCCCTATCCCCGCCTCTGGAAATACGCGCTCAGGATTTGCCAGTACAGATGAAATCTTTTCTGAAGCCATGGGAACTTCATGTCAGCTGACCCAAAATCATTTGTCTTGCCTCCAGCATTTCTAGTTTCACTCTTAAAACTCAGAACACAAAGACAGTATGTTTGGGGAATATAGTACATATTTGGAGCCAAACTGTCAGGAGAACAGGATTGGACAGGACAAAAGGCACATTTGCTGTGGCTCATTCAGCTGTTGCCACTTTCCCCGGAAGGACCATCATTTTTAAGGCTTGACACACAGGAACTTTTGGTTGCTTTAGATTCTACCAGTCACATGAATATGGCTAAAGTAAGAAATGGGCCAGCTTTCATCATTGACTTAAGAGTGTTCTCTGCAAATTTGTTAGTAAGTTGGCACATTATCAAGAATAAAAACTCCCTCCAAATTATCTGCAATTCATGACCTGATCCTCTTAATTTCTAAACATAGATCACTCTTTAGAACATAAACCACCCCTTATATTTTTATATTCCTTGAGAGCACTGAAAGAATTCCCATTTAGGATTATCGTTTAATTTTCATAGTATAAGTCCAAGGTCGACAAAATGGATATTATCAGTATCCCCTTTAATTGGTAATAATACTGTGGCTCCAAGAGATCAATTAGTATGACTAAGCTTCCAAACACGACCTACCTTCCATCCCCCCTTGTACTGTTAATTTTGCTATTTTCTTCTCTAACATAATTTAAAAATACAAAAGGAAAATATAAAGTTACAGCTGCAAATTACGAAGCTATCTTATTGACTTAAAACTCTGAAATGAACAAAAATGAAATCTTACCTCTCGAACATTTCCTTCTCACACAGTATGAATTCAGTTGCCAGGAAGCTTTCAGTTATTAAGGGAAGGGTACATACACAGTCGATCCTTGAAAAACAGAGATTTGAACTGTCTGGGTCCTCTGAAATCCGGGTTGTTTTTTTAAAATAAATACAGCCAGCCCTTCCTATCCCGGATTTCCTACCTGTAGATTCAACCAACCGTGGATAGAAAACAGTATCTTCACATTCCCAACTGTAGATTCCAAACCCTGGTTGTATCTGTCTGTGGATTGTATAGTTAAATTCTGGGGAGTTAAGTTGGGTACAGCATTAGCCTGTGCATGGAAGGGTCTCAGGTTCAATTCCCAGTCAAGGGCACCTACCTGGGTTGCAGGTTTGATGGCCCTGGTTGGGGTGAGTGCGGGAGGCAACTAATTGATGTATCTCTCTCACATCCATGTTTCACTCTCTCTCTCCCCCTTCTTCCCTCCCTCCCACTTTTCCACTCTCTGAAAAAAAAAAAATCAATGGAAAAAAAATTCCTAGGGTGAGGATTAACAACAAAAAAAAGTATGTGGGAATTTTTGACTGAGCAGGGGGTCAGATTTAAAAAGCATTTTTATAAAATAATATGTATGTACCTGATTGTTGGGCTTATACATATAGAAATGTAATATATGTGTAATATAATCACCAACAGCACAAATGAGATGAATGTGAGCAAAACTATATTAGCCTGAAGAAATGACTGCAGATGGTAAACTAACAGTTACAACAATGCATTATTGGATTTGTAACATGAATAGTTGTAATATGTAGGCATTGCCTAGAAAATACTTTCATTACATGTAGTACTACGTGAGAGGAAGTTTAGATATTATATGGTACAATTCATTATATTCCTTGCCAAAACAAAAACACTAAAAACAAACCTCAAAACCACCCAAATATAAGGAATTTCTTATTTTCTACTTGTATTTGCTGCTCTCTGACAGCCAGAATAAAAATATGTCTGAGAGCTACTTCTCCTTGGTTTACACTAGGGTCCTGGTTTCAGAGGCCTAAACTTTTAAAAAAGTTTCTTCCCCTTCTTTTATAATCATAAAAAAAATACCATAGCAACATAAAGGATAACTTTTAAAACTGGACCCCCACCCCCACCCCGTCCCCCGCCAGTTGGCTGATTATATACACACGAGGGAGAAGATAGCTGCGTGCAGCTGTGAGCTGCAAGTGTAACATGAAAAGGGGAGGGCAGGGTCTGCAGTCTGGCCTTCAGAGCTCAAAGTCCGATAACAAGGTGGCTAACCTTCTATAATGTTACAAACAATTCAGCCTGTTCCTGGGACCGGAGAATTGTCAGTGTTCTGGAGGCAAACTCCTGGAGGGGGTCAGGGTCCGGGCACAGCAACCAAATCAAAGTGTGTCCTGTCCTTGGTCTGTTCTCAAAATATATATATTTTTCTGAGCAATGGACCTATCAAGGCATCTTATCTTTTTAAACTGTTTCATCCTCCAGTTTCCCAGGGTAAGAAAACTTATCTATAGCTAGTAAGGTGAATACTTATTAAACAACTGTGGCTCCATCCTTACTACATGCCCTTCCCCACTATTGCTTTGACAAAAAACTTCACTGTATTTATTCCCTTCTGGTTTTATTCCATAGGCATTTATATTTTATTTTATGGAGGTGTAACCACTTACCTATATTTTTGTACTTGGTATTACATTGGATATTAGCAAATTTCATTATCATTCTTGGTAGCATTACATATATTCAGGGACATCTAAGTATTTTCTTGTGTCCATCCCACCTGCCCATTCTATTTGGTAGTGGTGGAAGTAGGAGGCTTGGGGCCTAGACTTCCAGACTCAAAGACAAACCAGAATATACCAGAAAAGACCACCACACACCAAAATCTTGAACTTTGGTGAATATAAATGGTCTGACTTGACCAAAGTTTTAAACTTGTATTTAGATAATTTGAAATTAAGTGTTTAAATACAAACATTTATAATGATCACCTGAAAAGGTTTATAATATAAAAGGCTAATTAGAAGTTTTGATTTAAAGTCTATGAATTCACCAAGTTGGCAGGTACATTTAAAATTTTTGAACTACCAGCTACCCTTCTTACCTTTTTAATTAGCTGCCTTAAGCAGTAATTTTAGAAATAACAACTCTAGATTCATTTAGTACAATAGCTGAAATTTACATTTTATCACTAGATGCAAAATATCAGATTTAAAACAGCATTTCTTCCATTTTTCTAATGTAAGAATCTCATTTCTTAAAGCATACTACTAAAACTTTTTAATAGATGTTATATAATTGTATTTTGCAACTTCAGTACATGGCCTACAGGAGGAAATAGAGGGTATAAAATCATTTCAAGTCTTATCTGGCTCTAATGAAAAAACCAGTTTAACAGCTTTTAGCTCATTGACATTCAAAAACTATGCTTTACTTTTTTTTTATAGGATTGCTTTTCTCTTTTTTTAAAAAATATATATTTTATTTCAGAGAGAAAGGGAGAGGAAGCGATAGAAACATCAATGTTGAGAATCATTAATTGGCAGTCTCCTGCATGTCCCACACTGGGGATTGGGCCTGCAACTTGGGCATGTGCCCTGACCTGGAATTGAACCATGACCTCTTGATTCACAGGTCGACTCTCAACCACTGAGCCACACTGGCCAGGCCCATAGTTATTTTTTATACTGAGCTCTAATCTGCCATTTTCACTTTGTTCTACTCTGTCAAACAGAATAAATAAGTTTCTGAAGTTGGCTTCCATATTATTTCTAATTAAGCTAAAAACTCCAGATTTTGTCTGCAAACTTTTGACAAATGCAGTTTCATATTTCTATCAATGGCTTTCTATTGTTTCAAGGACAGTAATCAGGGTCCATGATACCACATATAACTGTGCCCCTAACTAGCTTGCCAACCTCATTCCATCCTTTCCATTTGACCTCTGGCCAATCTTAATTTCAAATACACCGTTCTTCTTCCAGGCTTCCACATACTATTCCCCTCAGCCAGTAATGTTTCACCTGGGCCACATAGGTTTAGTGATTTTTAAAGCTCAGTTGAAAAACTGCTTCATGGGACTCTACCTTATAACCGACGCTCTATCCACTGAGCAAAACCGGTTTCGGCAGGTTTAGTGATTTTTAAAGCTCAGTTGAAAAACTACTTCATGGGACTCTACCTTATACTGTGAAGTCTATGAGGACATGGCCAATGTCTATCTTTATCAGGCCTAAGGTTTTGCAGGCTTTAAACATGCAATAAATATTCATTGTATGAATATGGAATTAATCAAAGAAAACACTCAGCTAAACTCTGGGGTGTATGTTGTACAAAGAAGGAATTGTATAGGCTCCAAGACAATCTTGAGAAAGAAAAACCCCTCCAAAGGAAAGTAGTAATAAAATTTAGAAAACTATAGAACTATTAAGATGAACAGTAACTTTTCTTCACCCTTTATAGGAGGTAGGGAACATAGAAGAAGGCAAACAAGCACAGCTGAGTGGTATATTTGTTTTACTGTTAATTTGACACATCTGATCCAAAGCATTCACAATACTTGATATACTTTGAAGAGAATCATATACTATAGTCTTAGACATAACCGCAGAACAAGCAGAACAATTAAAACTACGTAAGGCCTTAAAAATATCCACAGTGTGTATTATTTCAATATCATTCATTTACAAGTTAGACTACATACCATTAATTTATTTTTTCTTTTTCTTTCATTTTTTAAATTCAGGAATGATTCATTCAAGGAAAGGCAACTTAGTTTTTGTTTGCTTTATTTTTTACTACATTGGTTAATATAAAAGTTATGAATTAAATGTTTTCTGATCTCCTACATCAGGAGTGAATCAATGAAATTCTTAGATAATAATCCAAACCAATAGGTCCTATTGTTAAAAATAGCCAAAGTGAAAAGGGACTAAAGCCAGTCTGTGGTCTTGAAGAGCATCCAATGGACTTTCAGGTTGTCTTATAATGAAGAGTACTGCAAAATTTAAAACAACGTTGCATACAAAAGTCATTCTTGAAGCTCTAAATGCCTTTTAAATAACTAAAATAAAAATTTTAAGTAGTTGCCTCACAGTACCAAACTTATAAATCAAAACTAGTTAAAATTCAGTGCTATTGTGACTTCTCATTTACAAGGTAACTAGTTGGTAAATTAACAGATGGCATAAAAATTAAGACTTAAATCATTTTTTATTTTATTTTTTAGAGGAGAAAATGTATGATAACCAGGGAATACAGAAAATCCAATGTACTTTACAATAGAATAACTGTTTACACCTCTATTCCTGTACAACAGGGTTTAGGTCATCTCTAGTGAATTTGTGTGTTTTCTTAGTACTTGAATTGTTTCAGATATACAGCTTTTTATTGAAAGAATATTACATTTGTATACCAGGGTAAGATTTGGTACACTGAGATGTTTTAAAAATATTTATAAATTTGTTTCTCATATGCAAAAGCATTTGGCAATACTTTTACAGCATTTGATTTCATAGAATTAAAATTTCATACAGTACTTATATCTTGATGTTAAAAAAAATTCACAGAAAAAAATATAAATTACACAGCCTGACTGCATGATACTGTTATTTCCAGTTATAGTTCTGGTAATTAAAACCTTCATTAAGTCTGTAAACAAATCATTACCTGTACATTTATGAAGGCAACTGACATGATTTGCAAACAAAACCTTCAGGTTTTATGTTCTTTACCAAAGAGTGCAGTTCAGCAAAAGAAAACCCGGTATGCAAATTTACAGATTTTACAAATTTACCAATTCCTGTGACACAAACTGTTTCAACCTTTCAAGGTACTGTCCATAAAGTTCCACATCATTGTGACCTGCCCCTTCAACCCACAGAGGCTCCACAGGTCTTTGGCAACGCTCAAACAATGCAAGGCCATGTGAAAAGTCAATGACTTCATCTTCAGTCCCATGAATTATTAATACTGGAGAGGTTATTTTAGAGATTTTGTCAATACTGTAGAGAAAAAGGAGGGGGGAAAGTCAATGAATTAACTATGAAAAGGAATGTAAAACAAACTTTCTTGTGCTATATCAGAGAGATAATTCAAAAACCAGAATCTATCCAGAAGGAATTTAAAATATGATTCAAACCCTACAGCACCTTTACATACAATGTTCATGTCTTGCACAGAAAAACTGAGGTTGCAAGGAAACTAAGGACCATTTCAAGTATGTGCTAATTTCATACCTTTCTGCACTCATATATGGCAGGATTTTTGTTTGTTTGTTTTACGGTATTAACTCACAAAGATAGAGCAAATGTAATAAAACATAAAAAATTTTGGAGTTGAATAGTAGATAGGAGAAAACAATTTTTAAGAGGATAGAAGGTAAAGTGAAGAACCAACCCAATTTATACCATGGAATACAGGAGAAAACTAGGAAATGACAGGGGGATGAAGGTAGGTGATTAAAGTATTTACAATTTGTTCAAAGAAATAATTTAGGTCCCTCTCTGTCAGCGTCTTTCCCTACTTTTTGCAGCAGGGTAACTGCACTCCACCCAAAACTGTGGGGTTTGTAGACTAAGGGATTGCCAGACACAGTTTAGGGCAGAGGTATCAGAGGCCAAATGAGCATATACATACTGGCTGCTGTGAACCCTTTCTCCCTACTGGGCTTCCAGAACTGGCATCCAGGACTTCATCCACCAAGGGGGAGTTTTAGAAAGTCTTCTTTGGAGACTATACCCACTTTAAAAGGAAAAATATATAAATATTGGTATGGGGGTTCGGGTGGGGATCCCCAATTAATTGGCTTGACCAGATCACTCTACAGTGAAGCTCAGAGTCAACAAGTCTTAATCACCCGCTTCAGATCAGCACTTTAGTTCCTCTGCCTTACTATGAGCAGACAACCAAGAATTACCAGACATCAGAGGATTACACTAACGTAAGACAGAGATCAAAACAATCAGAATTTAAAAAGCAACGCAAAGGAGACATAAATTAGAGATTACACATAAAACAAAACAAAAAAACTTAAAAAATCCAGAGAGAGAGGGATAGGGAGGGAGGCATGGGGGCACTATAATCATAAAATGAGGATAGAATCATAAAAAGTAAAAACATTATCAATGAAATTATTCAAGGCTGCATTTGGTTAAGGAAAGAATGTTTGGGTATATTATTTGCTGTCAGATAATTCAATACTAAAGGTCTTTTTCTAACAGTAAACTGTTAGCGCTGTCCTCTCTGTTGATGCAATAATGAAAGAGGGAGGCAGACAAGAGATATAAATTTTACGGCAATAGTATTACCTCAAATACCTTCCTATCATCTCTATGATTCAGCTAAACAGAAGCAATGTAATGGACATACCTTCCAACCTACCATTATCTAAAACAAAAACAAACCGAAAATAAAAATCAAATTTCCCTCTAATAGCCTGTTCTGGTGATAAAATCACATGTACTATAAGCATCCCTTCAAAAGTGACTTCTGACTTGCTAATGATGAAAAAAAAAAGAAGTTTTTAAAATGACCCTTGATGTTCTTATAAAGAATCAAGTGATACCCTAGCTGGTTTGGCTCAGTGGATAGAGTGTCGGCCTGTGGACTGAAGGGTCCCAGGTTTGATTCCGGTCAAGGGCACATGCTCGGATTGCAGGCTTGACCCCCAGTAGGGGCCATGCAGGAGGGCAGCCAATCAATGATTATCACTTATGTTTCTTTCTCTTTCTCTCTCTCTCTCCTCTCTCCTCTCTCTCTCTCTCTCTCTCTCTCTCTCTCCCTCCTTCTCTCCCTCCCTCCC